GTTGGAACTCAGTAGTTGTCTCCGTTCTTAACATACTAAAACAGTTCAATGACTCAATCAATACTACATAGTAAATGATTACATTATACCCAGGATATTAAAAATTCAGTTTTAATTAACTCTTAGGCCTTAGATTAAGGCCCTCAGTAGTAATCTTATTTGAATACAATCGATATAATGTCGTTATTTTTACCAAATGCTTATCTTATGTTATTATCAATAATTTAATTGTTATTTATTTTTTTTAGCTAAAAACATTTTCCTTTTTAACTAGACATTAAAATTATAAAAATATCTATGAAATTGATTTTATATTTTTTATAATAATAAATTCACAAATTAAAATATTTAGAACTATCTAAATATTTAAGTGATGAAAATCATTGATGGTATTCGGGAAAGGATAAGAGTTTAACCCTGTACGGCAAAAATAATTAAATATGAATAGAGTAAAAATTAGTTAAAATTAGTTCTTAACTTTTTTTATATCGTTAGAATGAAATCTATAACGTATCATAATAACCAGTTCAGAAAACTACAATTAGGTTTTAGGAATAGTAATTATAATTACTGAGGATACTATGTTTATTTAAAAGAATATAATAAAATAATCTGATTATACGTTGAAAATGAAAAAATTTTAAGTGCATAAACTTCAATAAAGATTAAAGAAGACATTTTATTAAAACATTAAGTAAACAATTGATCTGATTGATAAGTTACTTCACTTAAATGATTTGCTATAAGGATTACTTAAGCACATCTTGGGCAAAGTTTAACATAGGTACGCATTTCTTATCTTATAAAATATTAATTTGAAAGTAATAAATTATAAATACATTTCAACTACTTAGTGTTAGAAAAAAATTGCCGATGTAGATCTTTCATGAGCCGAGTTAGACGCATTAATTATATTAGTCTAACAGTGATACAATAGTGGTGTTGATTGATACGTATTACTGAAGGTCAAAAAATAAATGAATTAGTAAAAATTATAATTAGTTGATAAAAACTAAGAGAACTAATAAAATAAAAAACAACAAAAAATAAAGAAAACTTATAAGTAAGAATTAAGTGGCAAGAAATTGTCACAATAAGTGATTCAATAAACTAAATAAATACTAATCAAGTAGATTAGATATTATTGGATTTTTTTTATGGAAGTATATTATTATAATTGAATAATTTTCGTAATGGTTAAAGGAAAAATAAAAGATATTGTGCAATACCATACATAATTGTCATTTAAAAAGAGAGAATCATTAGTATGAATATACGTCATCATGTTTCAGATAACTTAAATGATCATAATAATACAAATAATGACTATAATAATTACAAAAAAAAAAAAATGTAGCAATATACATTTTAAAGAAGATTGAAATAGTCTTCGTAATTAATTTAAATTTCATTGAAGATAGATCTAATGACATTTTATTCCAATCAATATTTTATAAAATATAGTGTATACCTATGTGTACTAGATAAAATGTCTCATACCTAATTGACAACACATAAATTTTGATGCAATTATCATTATGTTTTAATAACTATTGTTTTCTAAGACTACGTTAAGGGATATTTTTTTATTAATTATTACTAATAAGAAAAATATAATAAAAATTTAAAAAATATCAAAATAGCCATTTTTAGCCCTTTTCTTACAAAAAAAAGTCGAGAACAATTTTAGGATAAGTATTCGTTTATTTAAGTATTTTAATAAATTTAATAGACTTGGAACATGATTGGGTACAACTCGAGCTGGTGTATATTTATAACACATAGTCCACCTGCATTCTATTTTTGTAAATTAAAAATAATAATAATAATTTTATCAAAAGTTATAAGCGTTGTCAATTAGGTATAATGCACTCTGTATACATATAATCTAAATTTATAGCGCCTTTAAATCTTATCATTTACTCTTTTCTAGAATGATGTGCAAATATTTCAAGAAAGTCAAATAGGCAATTTTTTTTAATCAGCTGCTAATGTTTAAAAAGGTTTTTATCTGTTAAGCATATGGCGCAGTATCAATTAATGTTAAAACGCGTGACGTACTAATGTACAATAATGAGGACAAAGTGATTCATCGAGATCCTGAAGTAATATATTTGTTAACCAGATAAATAGAAGGTTCACCGATTTGAGCCTTAAAAATTACTTGACACTATCATCTCTTAGTCAGAGTCCACATAGACAGACAATCGTATTGTCCATCGATAAGACACGTCGTTCACGGAAAAACGTGTAACGCAAAATATAATAAATATGTTATCTTTCCTTAAGAAAGAAAAACAACGATGTGACAACGCGCTAAATGAAGCCATCATTTTAATTTAATAGATCTTCTTGGTATAATAGTTGTCGAACATAATGGATCCTCAATCTGTAAAGTGCATTTAAATATCTTACTGATAGTATCAAATTATTATTAAGCAATGATAAAAGAGTCTTCTGTCAGACCTAAAGTTAACTTAATTATCAAAAAAATCAAAGGCAATGATGACAATAAACGAATGGCAGTTAAAAGAATATACGTCATGAACAAAACATCGTTAGCTCAGAATGAATAATCACATAATTAATAATTAACAATAACGATATTTAATTTCGTATTACAAAAATACTGTATAAGTGGTTACGCACAATCAATACTATAGTTATAATTTTTCTTAATATGATTAATAAACTATACATATTTAGCTTAGTACACTGTCGTTACTAGAATTTTCGGACTCCAAATAAATAAACAAAAAAGTAGTCACCCGGTCATTTGGGGCTTTATTTAAGGAGGTATTGTCCCTACAATTGTTGAATCAATGATCTCATATAAATTTATATTTGAAGTAAGGTAAAAATTTCATTATGCAATTAATCTAATAATATTGATTATTATAAAACTATTTAACATTCTAATATATTAAATAATTTTAACAGAAAAAAAATTATTTTTAGTTATTGTTAGTTACATACGTGTCATCATTTTTATGTTATAAAATATTTTTTAGGTCCATCCTTTATATTTTGTAGGAGTATCAACTTTATTTTTAAATGGTAACATACATATTTAACTAGCTTATAAAATAGAAAATTATCTTATTAAGACTGGTCAATAATAATTTTTGGTCTAATATTTTGAAAGCTATGAACATATTTTAAAATATAAACTGGAAGCGAAGCGAAGATGTTTCTATTTATGCCATTAGTCATTTCTTAACAGCTTTTCTTATCCGATCTAAGAGCAAAATTGTGAATATCTTCCAAAGTGTTAGACCAACGGTTGTTAGTGATCAATCATTTTATTAATTAGATCATTTTTTATTTTATAGGCTTGTTAAATATGTATGTTGCTATTTAAAACATAAAGTTAACAACCCTATAAGAAATAGATCTAAAAATATTGTATAACATAAAAATGGAGACACATATGTAACAAAAACAAAAATAATTACTATTTAAATAGAAATCGAGTGGCTAGCGTTAAAAGATTCATCTTATATACATGTAGTAATTAAAGACATTAATACTAATAAATAAATACAAACAAAAAACACTAATTAAAAAGACTGATTCATGTAAAAGTTAATACTTTTGATGATAAAAAATAGTTAAAAAATAAATAGACGTATATGATAAATTAAGTTTACGTGTTTAGTTTACAGAGTGAACAATTATAGTAACGTGATATAAATAATTAACTTTTTTAATTGATTAAACACGATTTGTAACACCTCTAATTTTTTTTTTTTTAATTAGTCTTAATTTAAATAGAAATTTATAATAAATTGTTTTTTAAATAACGATTTTTTCCTGGACAATAAGTAAAAATTGAATAACATTAACCAGTGATATTATAATAAGTACTTATCATGTACAACAAAAAGTGTCAAATTAGTCACCTCGTTTAAAACATTGAAAAATATTTGATGAAAAAAATCGAGAAAGTAATGGGGAAGTACATAAACAATTAAAATAATATGAATCATTCATACATTGATACTCATGAATAGGGTGCAAAGTTATATGCATTGTAAAATTTAGTTAGGTGATTTCGTACACATCATCAACAAGTAAAAATCTTTATTAATTTACTTTTGAACTTAATAATATATTGTTATATTGTTGAGGAGGCAATTAGGAGTTTAATCATCTCTAAAACGAAAAATATTTCATTACTATTTATATATAAATCTACGGCAAAGTTGCACAAACTTGGAACACTTATAATTTCAAATAACACTGCCGTCTAAAATAGAAGAAACTATAGAAAAAAGTTTATATTTGTTTACAAAATATATTAGCTAATAATTATTCCCATACATATTTATTTAATAAAAAATTATGACTACTGGTTTATACTACCGATTGGATTCATTTTAAAGTTTTGTATAATCTGTATAATATTATTGTCCCCCTATTATCCTTTAACATTTTAACGATAAAAAGTGGCCTATTGACTTCAATTTTAAATAATTCATTTATTAATTCAAGATATACCCTACTTATTTTAATTAAAAACAAACGAATAGATTAATATAAATAACGAACTCGTGTAAACAAAAGAGGAAAATACGTTGACGTTCAAAGATACATAAAAAATAATTTCATTTTAAATAGTTTTCATAAGTTCAAAATTTATTTATCTATCTATGGCACTGTCTGTACAATTTGTTTATAAAATTAGTATTTACAAGTTTATTCATTTTATTTTAAATTTAGTTAAAAACATAATTAACTTGTTTAATAAAAATTATGTCATTTTAGCTTTTATTTACAAAAATACTCTACTAATTTTATTTAAATAGCTTTTCAATATTAAATTAAAGTTCATTAGAAACAATGTTTATTTAATTAGTTGTAATATAGTAATTTTCATAGATATAATAATATATTATTACATCAAATGTTCATTACTATCAATTCATTAAGTTAAAATTGTATATGACTATATACACTGAACACTAAGTATATAAAATTATCCTTAAAAATATGAACAAAGATGCATAAAAATAATTGTATTTAGTTAACTGAGTAAGTTAGATTTTACCATTAAAACTGTTGTAATGCATCAACAATATAGGTAGCATTTAATGGCCAATTTAAGTAATCTTATGCATACAAAAGTGAATTAATAAAAAATTGTACATTTGTGGTTTCTGATTAAACAAACAAGCCATGTCCAAAAAGTTAGTATACCGCATAAAAATTACCTCTCGTGTTATATAATTAATATTTACAATTATGTTGTTGACTGTAGGAAGAAACTTTCATCGAATGAATGATCTTCAGAATTATCAACTTTGTTATGGGTAAGAAACATAGCAAATTAACGTAATTGTTAAAACATATTTAAGAAATTTTACTTTAATAATGTACCTTTTTGATAGGAAAATACTTACATGCATGAAATTTATATTTAATGTTTATATTTATATTTTTATTGAATTATTCAATCATTTCCATACATTGATGAGTAAACCTTCTTTTTTCTTTCAATGACAAACCAAATGGACAATAAAATATCCTGGAATATGATTTTTATGATTATAAAATTTAATCGAAATCCTAATATAAACAGACTGAACGTACGTCAAAGACGAACTTGTAGATTTTAATGTTGTTTTTTAGACTATGAAAAATAAAATTATTTACATATTGTTTAATTTTATTTATTACTGATCCTGCGGCTATTTTTGTGACAAATATATTTATTAGATGTGTAGGTTATATTTACATTATATCTTCTAGCGAGACATATTTACACTGTGTTAAATACACATCATAAAACATAAATTATAAAGAAAATAAATTTAATTATTATATTGTGATCATGCGGGTTATTCACAAGATAATTAATTAGAAATTAAGTTATAATTACTTTTAATTCTAAATATAATTTAAATTATTATAGTAATTTTGAGACAAAAGAAATTTTTTTTTTACATATAACTGCCTTGATATAGCTGGTCATACACAGCTATACTTTACAGATTGTGTTAATAAAATATATTTAAATTATATCACATTAGTCATTAAATTCGGAAATATATAATATACTAAATTTTAAAACGGATAGGTCATTTGGAACTCTCTAAAACTCTGCAATAGTTGACTGACGTCATAAACAAAAAAATTATGGCCATATAACACATTTGTACACATATATATTATAAAACTGTATAGTGAATTTATACGTAATATTACTAGGTTACATTAAATGTTAAATGATAATATAATGAATTGCATAAAATTAGCATTAATGACATAAATTAACAATAAAATTTACAGTATGACTGACCTATGACTATTCGAATTCTTTAGAATTCAAAGATATACCTTTAAATAAAACATATATAAATATTGAAAATAATAAATGGGTAGTAACAGCTGTTTATAAGACTACGTCAGAAAAAAAATCTTTATTTACTACAAAATTGTTTACTGGCTAATGTAATGTCTGGTTGATGCTTCCGGGCCCTTATTTATTAATGAAGAATGTAAACAATTATTTTGTTATGATGAACACAAATGCTTTAGAATGTTGGTATTACTTGTCTGAAGAAAAATTGAACATGATAGAGGAATACATATAAAACATTTTAAGGATATCGATGCGATTAAGGTAATGTATTCTTAAAGGATTAATAAGTGTAAAACTAAGTATAGTTATAATATATAGTATAGGCATCATTTGTTGTTACTGAATGTCTGAAATAAAGGTAGTTATTCCAGTCGGTTCAATATTATAACCAATATACTGAGTGGAACAGATCTAACTGACAACTCATATAACTTATGATCTGCATAACATTTTATACTTTTTTTAAATCAATTTTTACAATATAAAACTATATTTAAAATATGTTTTATGTTATTTTTCGCAATTACAAAAAATATTTTTAAAATTAATTTTTTTTTTTTAATTTATTTTAAGATTTGAAGATAGCCATTTTATTGATAAGTTTTAAACAAAAATGTTGATAACAAAAACTCTTATTTTCATTCAGTAGTTATGTTTATACAGCATTTTTAAGTATATTAAATTTTGAATTTTTTTACAATTTTCCTACGATATCAAATGTCCATATTATGTAAAGGACGGATGTAAACACTGTCTTATAACATTATTCACTGGTAACAGTATGTGATTTCTTTTCCATGAATAATAATAACGTTTAATGCGCTTTATACAAAATGATTATCTCTTATCTTTATTACAAAAAATGAATCATTATCGTATGTCAACTACGAGTGTTCAGTTGGTTAGCCAAGTTAAAAGTGATAACAATTATTAATTTGCGTGATTCTATCATTGTAATCATATTTTATTATTGGATATTCCTTGTTAGGAGATTTGATAATAAATGCACTTATTCACTATTATTCACGTTTAAATTTATCATATATGAGTTTAATTAATTAAAAACTCAATGTTTCAGACGATGTTTCTATAATTTTTTTAATAATCTTTTAATTATACTATTGCTTATTTTTTCATAGAAAAGAAATCGCGTACGTAAATAACGTAATAAGTAATTACTTAATATAATATCGACAAACATTTGTTACCATAGGAAAACTGTAAAAAAAATTAAAATTTAACAAACTTTAAAATGCTGTATAAACGTAACTACTGAATTAAAATAAGAGTTTTTGGTATTAAAATTTTTCTTTAAAACTTATCTATAAAATGGTTGTCTTCAAATCTTAAAATAAATTTTATTATTATTATTATGCTAAATATTGTTATTATTTGTTAAAATTCAAGAATGACAACAAAAAACTATTTAGTAATTTTATAAGAAAAAAAAAAAAGAATAATTATAAATTATTTAAAATCGTACTTATATACTAAAAAAATTTCTAGTGGCGAAAGTTGTATGCGCCATATTTTATTAGATAAGCTATATCTATCCCATGTGATCCTTTTAATGCCAAAATGCTTGAAATTTATAGAAGATTCGCAACAAATATTATTTATTAATTCATCATTTTTGTTTTGTAAAAAAATTGCTTTTAAGATATTTAGAAAAGTTGAATCAAAATTTCAACTACTTTTCCAAATAAAAAATTAATGTTACACATAAATTACTACTTCTTTAACTAGACTAAAATATTTTTTTTAAAAAGAATATTGAAATAGTTTTTTGTTTAATTCATATGTACTAAATAGTTATATCACTCTGCTCATGTAAATTACCAGCCAATATTCATCCTAAATAAGAACAGCGAATTGGTTGTTGAGATATCGAGAAAGACCAGAAAAAAACCCTAAATTTTAGAAGTCGTAATTTTAGTTTTACTTAATAACTTTTTCTGATTATCAATAATGAATCATCACTTTTCAAATGTCAATAATTTCAGATACAGAATTAATCCGCTAACCCACGTGTCTACATATTAAATTATTAGTAATCATCTTTAGTTTTTTTTTATAGAATATAAGAATTTTAACCATTTAATAATTGACATCAATGTAGTTTTAAATAGTGTTTACTAAGAACAATTCAAATTAATTAACTAGGAAAAAAAATACGTTCAAAAATTTTTTTTAACTTTACTATGAAATCTTTGACTTCCTAAACCAGTAATTACTACTAAATAAACACAATTGTTCTTTTAAATCGCTTCTATTTTTGTTGAAATTTATTTCATTAATATTTACACTTTATTTATTTTTCTCATATTCATGTCTTACAAGTTGAAGATTAATAATGTGTGGATAACACGTTTGTTTGTTGTTAAAAATACGTTTTGTACTAAACTTACATCAAAACAACAACCGTTTAAATTTATTTATACACAGAAATTTATAATTATTTTACCTATTTTACAAATTTACTCATAATAAAATGTATTAATGCCTAGAGATTTAAAAAAAAACATTCTTAGTTAAATAGTTATGATTATTATTTTAAATAACCAATTAAAAGACGTCATGAAATTTATCTCGCTACACAATGACGTACATTGTTCATAATTTCATAAATCTAAAACCAAGCTAAATATACAAACACAAGCTTTTTATATACTAGGCCAAACTTACCAAATATGAAATTTAAAAAAATTGACTTTTAATGAAAATATGGATTTTGTAGTTTAATACTACTAAAAACTGTTTTTACGTCTATAGCATTTTAAACGTTTCGTTTATTTCAGACGAATATGTATAGTCATTAATTAATTAAATATTGACAAAACAATGTAGAAAAATACTATAAAATAACCATATCTATGGATTAGAATACACTAACTCATATAAATATATATGTATGAGTTATTGTACTCGCTGTTTTATTAATATTTGAATGACACTATGTAAAATAAAGAGAGATCTTTATTTTTGGATAACACTATAATAAATTTTACAAGAACACCAAGGTACTTGTAAAAGAGGTTTAAGACAATTTTAAATATTTTTTGTATATATTATAAACCAAAAATACTGATATATCATACAAGTTATGTGAACAATTTTGTGTAGGATCGATTGGATAACAATAATAAATCCAAATTCATTATCAAGTTTTCTTCTAACAGAGTTTGGTAAAAAACTTAACGTACTATGTTTATAAGACGTGTTGTTTATTATTTGATTCACAAAAGTAACTATATATGACTTGTCGTCTTTATCCAACTATGGCTTGATTATATATTATATTAATAATACTAAAGTCTGAGACATTACATGAGAATAAACTAGAAGTTTGAAAAATTTACAAGCTCTCCACAATGAAATTTTTAAAAAAATCAATAGTTAGCATTTTATAACAGGAAAAAAAGTATTGAAGTTATACTGATAGGTATACTTTTTTTTTTTTAACCAAGTCAATGGTCGTCGGCTGACCACCTGCATGAGGTAAGCGACCGATGACACAAAAAGTGACTACTTGGTATTTTAAAAGAATGTTCTTATGCCCAAGGTCCGTTCTGACGCGGTAAAGACAGTCGGGTCGACGTCCCCAGAGCTTGACTACAGACGGGGATACGTATTTTCCACCTATACGTCACCAAAAATCTGGTTATAAAGCTAAAATACCCCAAAAAGTATTCAGTTTTTTTGTCGGTAATAAAACTCATCGAACTCAATGTTAAAGTAATGAAATCAATATTATTCAGCAATTTAATAACTATGTAAAAAATAAAAATAACTGATGTAAATGAGAAAATTTTCTCGCATTATTATTGAATTAAATATATATATATAAGTTAAAATTTAAACTGTTGATTAAAAAATGATTTATAAAACATCATATTCATATCGGTTTACCTCTTATTAAAGATAAACCCAACTCATGACATTAAGCTTATTTAATAAACTAAGAATTAATTCAAATACGCTAAACTCATTTCATCACTGAGATAAGAAATAATGATATTTTTGTAACTAATTGAGCAATGAACTAAGAAAGCCATAAAAATGCAAAATTGGTGTCAAAATGACAACGATTATAATTTAAGCACTTTGTAGCAATAAATCAAAAAGTGATAAGTTTTAGCATAAAGAGAATTTCTAAAATATTTGTTTTCAAATACGAATTAAAATAATTAACTGTGTAAATAAATTTGACGGAATTACATTATCTGTTCATACGACTCAAAAATACGTCAGACCTACGTCGGTCAGGGTTTTACGTGGTAGACGTGCATTATAAAGC